TTGAGTACGACCCAAAGTCCATCTACTAATGAAGAGAAGAATGAGATGTCAAACATTCCATACTCTTCCGCGGTTGGTAGTTTGATGTATGCTATGATTTGCACTAGACCAGATATTGCACATGCTGTTGGTACCGTTAGCAGATTTCTTTCCAATCCTGGAAAAGAACATTGGGCTGCAGTGAAATGGATACTAAGATATTTGAAGGGTACTTCAGATATGGAGTTGTGCTTTGGTAGTGGCAAGTCTGAACTTGTATGCTACACAGACTCTGATTTGGGAGGAAATCTTGATAACTCAAAATCCACTTCTGGTTATTTGATCACTTTTGGAGGGGGAGCTATTTCTTGGCAATCAAGACTTCAGAAGTGCATAGCTCTATCTACCACAGAAGCTGAATATATTGCCATCACTGAAGGTGCCAAAGAATTGCTTTGGATGAAGGAGTTTATCAAAGATCTTGATTTTGAACAATCAAGGTTTGTCTTATTTTGTGATAATCAAAGTGCTATTTATCTCACCAAACACTCTACCTTTCATTCTAAGTCCAAGCATATTAGTAGAAAATATCATTGGATTAGAATGGCCCTGGAGGAGAAATTATTTGAGGTTGAGAAGATACACACTGATGACAATCCTTCAGATATGCTTACAAAAGTGGTGATCGTAGACAAGCATGAGTTTTGTAGAAGTGCGGCAGGCATGAAGCCTGTCAAGAGTTCCTCCACTTGAAGTCTATTTGGCCCCTTGGCTGGAAGGGGAGTTTGTTGGGCTATTGCCCATGTTCCAGCCAAAGGCCCATGGCCTAATCCTACTTGAAAAAGGATTGGAATTATTCTCTTTATTTGGTTTCCAATTCTATTAGGAAAAGGATTGGAATAGTAATCCTATTTGGAGTTGGTTTTGGCTTTGTAAGGAAAAGCACAACTCTATAAATAGAGGATGGTTTTAAGAGAATAATTCAGATTGCTCATTAGTATTGTCTTTGAAAGACATTAGGACATAAGAGAGGTTTCTTGAGAGAGCTTTCAACAAGAGAGAAAAGAGAAGAAAAAGGGTTCTTTTGCTGCAGTCTTTTATTCCGACCAGCAACCTTCAGATCGTGTTTCCCGATTAGCTAACCGTTGGATCGGGCTGAAATTTGTACTGAGTGTTCCTGACATCTTGGTGGTTGATTTGAACGGTGGAGATCGGATTCAGAAGTCAGCAAGATCCTGTTTTAGGTCCCGAACAGAAGCTGAGTTTGGGTGGTGTTTCTTTCTATTTATCTTTTGTTGGTGTAGCTATTGTTTGTTCTCTTTTGGCACTTGTTGTGTAGCCATTAGAAGAATAATTGTAACTCTCTTATTGTTATAGTGAAGCAATTCGGATCTTGTCGATCCCGTGGTGGTTACCTTCGTTTTGAAGGATTTTTCCACGTTAAACTTGGTGTTCTTTATTTTAGATTTTCGTTTTCAT